TTCCTTCGACATTCCCACAAATTTTTCTTTTTTTAAAATTATCAAAGAGACAAAGATGGAGAAAATGACTGGAGAAAAAAAAGAAAAGTATGAAATAAGAAAAATAAATAATAACGTTTCACGCGGCGTAATTTTTATGTATTTTCCGTTAAGACTCCATGAAAATTTTCTATTCATTGTCTTTTTTTTTGTCTTCCAATTTTTCCAAAACCGGAAAATCATCATGTTTAAATTTTTTTTAATTTTTTCTTCCCAACCGGAAATCATCGTTTCATTTATCGATTCCTCATTCCTTATTTCTTTACGTATATTAAATTTTATTTTTTTTTGTTTTAAATTTACCCTCATTTCTACCCCCCTCTCCCATTTCACCCCCTCATCCTTTTTATTTTATATTAATTTATTTTCCTACATCTATTAAAAAACCTTTTCTTCAGACACGTCGAATTAAAAAAAAACAAAACAAACGGTATAAGAGTAGGGAAAGAGAGAGAGAAAAAGAGAGACAAAGAGAGAAAGAGAGAGGGGGAGAGAGAGAGATGGATAAAACGCTGGAATTTTTTTTTTTAAATTTTAAAATCACGAATTTTATTATTGATTAAATGTAATAATCGAATGAAAAAGTTTAATTAATGTTGTGACGTCATTCAATTAATATGCAACAATGGGATTTGATTTTTTGTTTATATAAATATGTAATTTCTGAACGCGCTTTCCTCTCATTTTTTTTTTTTTTTTTTTTAACAAAAGGGAATTTAAATATAAAATCGAAATTTGAATTAATTTCGTGTAGTTTATGTGTCAAATCAAACATTGTCGTCATTACTTATCGTGTGTGCGTGTGCGTGTGCGTGCGTGCGTACGACAGTAATTTTGTTTTTTTCATTATAATTTCAAATATATATTTCTTCATCATTTTATCCGTCTCTCTCTCTCTCTCTCTTTCTTTTTAATCTTCTTTGATTATATTGTGATTAAAGGTTTTAGATTTCCTCTTATTTTTTAATTAATTGAAAATTTTAACTCGTTTAAAGTTTTTTTTTTTTTTCTTTTTTCGGATCGAAATTACTAAAACGAACGTGCGAAAAATTCTTATTTTTTCAATAATTAATACCTAGAATGCGCGTACCTGAAATTATTATTATTATTATTATTATTTTAACGGAAATTTTATTTCTGCCGCCTATATGTAAATTTCTTTTTCGTTATGAAAATATCGCTGGGTTAAAAATAAAAAAAAAATTTACTTTCCGAACGTTTACCTTTCTTTTTATCTAATTCCACGTTTTATTTTCATACTGGAGTAAAAAATAAACAAAAAAATTCCAGTGGGGAGGAATGTAAACACAAAAAAAAACGTCGACGCAAAACAAAAATTTTTTTTTTTTTAAATTTGATTTCCTTCATCGAATCATTATCATTATCATTATTATTATTATTCAATTCATTAAACAATTTTGATCCCAAATAAATAAATAATAATAATAATAATAATAGTACTCGACAATATTCATTCATTTATTTATTTAAAAAAAAAATATGAAAAATTTGCCGTAGATATTTTTTTTTATTTTTGTTTCTCCAGCGAGGTGAAATGAATATTTTAAATTTTATTGGAAATCATTTTGTGTCGTTTCATTTTCAATGAATCGGGGGTATCAATTGATCGATCGATCGATTGATTTTATATTTTTTTTTTTTTTAAATTTTGAAATGAAGTGATTTGTATGCGAAAAATTCCAGATGTAAAAATATTATTTTAAAAAAATTTTTAACGGAATGAATGATGAGCTGGAAAAATTGTTCTGAATGAATGAAAAAAAAAAAAATTTACTTTTATTTTTATATCAAGAGACGCGTAGAGGGGGGGAGAAGAGAAAAGGGGAGAGAGAGAGAGAAAGAGGGAGAAATTATGAATACTACATTTAGTTTTAAGTAGAAAAAATATGAAATTATTATTATTATTATTATTATTATTATTATTATTATTATTATTATTATTATTATTGTATTACTTTTAAAATTCGAACCGGAAAATTTTTATGGAAACGAATAAATGTATGATAACATTTTTAAAATTATTCACGACGTCTTCTGCTCACTCAATGACGTGTTATTAGACTTTTTATAAAATTTTTTTACGTTTTTTTCTTTTTTTTCCAGTGGATTCTTAAAAAAAAAAAACAATTTCTAACGTTTCCATTATCGACTGGAATCAATTTTTTGACAAAAATTTTTCGTTACGCTCATTTTTCATTCCAGACTTTTCTAGGTACACGACTAGCAGATATTTTTTTTCTCCAGGTTAAAAAATTCAATCAACTTACGCTTTTTTAAAGTTTGTTAGCGTTACAATTTTCTATTGATTATTCCGTCATATTATCATTATCGCTACAAACTAAAAAGAAATTAAAAATTTTTTTCCAGTAGAAATTCCAAAAAAAATTCTCTCCAGGAGATGTAGTTGTTTTGTTTTTTATAAACAAAAAAAAAAAGTAATTAATCCTCATTTGCGTAATTAAAATGTACGTGAGCGTGTTCGTGCGCGTGTGGGAATGAGAATAAAAAAATGTCTGGAAATGAAAAAATGAATGAATGAATAAATGGGGGCGGGTGTGGGAGTGGGGGCGAGGGGAAAACGGTCGAACGGACCGAAAGCAAAAAAAAAAAAAGTTTTTTTTTCTGTCGTGTCTGAATAACCTCACGCTTTGTTAAAAAAAAAAAAATTTCCCCAGTTTAAACATGGAGAATTAAAAAAAAAATTTTTTTTTTTTTTTTAATAAATTCCATTGAATAAATGAATCAAGGTTTTTTTTCCTCTCGAAAAAAGGAAAGTGAATGAAAAAGAGAGAGAGAGGGAGAGTGGCGGGAGGGAGAGAAACAAAATAACTCTGATGGCACTTTAAAATAACTCCTTCATTTTCTTTTTTCCTTTTTCGATTATTCAGACGAATAATTTTATTATCACTATCATTATCATTATTATTATTATCATTATTTACATTCACGCGTGACGTATTGAATATCGGTTTTTTCTTTTTTCTTCTCCATAAATTTTCTCCAGTTGATTTTCAAAATTCTTTTCTTACCCTTCCCTCTCTCTCCTTCCTCCCTCCCCCGTTCGATTGTGTTTTCAAGATCGTCAGACATTTTATCGAAATTTGTTTTGCCAATTTTTTCCTCCTTTCCTCCCTTCCCTCTCTCTCTTCCTTCCTTCTTTTTTCAAATGGCATAATTTTTGAATCCGCGAAGTTATACATTTGGCACAATTTTACAATACTTTTTATTGACTTATTGATTTGTCGATATCAGGTTTTCGTTATCATCATCACTATCATCATCACTATTATCATTATCACTATCATCATCACTATTATCATTATCACTATCATCATCATCACTATAAGAAAAACATAACGGTTTTTTTTTTTTTTTTGCGAAACAAAAAACCCATTTCCGCTTTTTTTCTCTTCCTCTTCTTCTTCTTCTTCGTCTAAAATCATAATTTACGCTACGATACTATAAAAAAAAAAAAAATAATAATAATAATAATAATAATAATAATAATAATAATAATAATAATTTTTTTTATTTAACTCCAGAGATTTTATAATAAGGAGAAAAAGAAAAAGAAGAAGAAAAAAAAATTAAATCCGCGAAACGCACATCCGGTATTTATTTAAAAAAAAAAACTAAAATGTTTTTTCCTCTTTTTTCCAGACGGTTTGCCTGCTTCCAGTAACCGAAATAAAATGATAATAATTATTATTATTATTAATATCGGAATCGAGTTCGACTGATGGATTTTAAAAGAAAAAAAAATAAAATAAAGATTATTCACTTGATGATTTTAATATTATTATTATTATTATTATTCGAAAGTGAGAATAAAAAAATTTTTTGATGCGAAAAGGTTTATTACTGTTATGAGAATAAAAAAAAAACATTTTAAAACCTTTCGCATGAAAGGTTTGTAAAAAAAAAAAAGGAAAGGAAAGGAAAGAAAAAAAAGGTTTCGGTAAGAATAATAATGACTAACTCGTATGAAATTTTTTGTATAAAAAGTAAATAAAAACGCGGCGTTTTTTTTACATTTAAAATTTTATTCGAGCGTAAAATTCGCGTTCGCGAACGTTTTCTCGAACTTTCCATCGAACGTATTCTAAAAAAAAAAAAAAAATTTTTGTTTTTAAACTTCCGTTTGAATTGAATCCTTTGAATTTCTTCCCCCCTTTCCCTTCCCCCTTTTTTCTCAGGCTTTATGGGTGAAAAAAAAAATTCCAGGAAACGAAAAATAACTTGATCTTTTTCCGTTTTTTTTTTTTTTTTGTAATGTTGGTAATTTTTTTTTTTTCTTGAGATTTAATATCATCGTCGTATTATATGATGACTACATTTCATAATTTTTTTTTTCTCATTTGCCTGGAGAACAAAAAAAAAAACAAAATGGATCGAACCTGTCAATAATAAAAATGACTCCATAAAATAAAATTGATGAAATAGCTTAGGGGGTGCCTGTCCTCTCCCCACCACTTCCCCCACTTCCCAAAAAAAAGTAGATAAGATTTGGACGTTAAATTTGAATAGATTTTTTTTTTTAAATTTTCATTCCAGAATTTCATTCCAGGCGGAATGAAAAAAACCGTAAAATGCAAAATTTATATGTAAAATTTTAACGCCACGTCACACGATCGAACTCATCAACTCGATTTATTTACAAAAATTATCGTTTTTTTATCAAACAAACAAACAAACGAAACAATATTTTTAAAACCGCCACCGCACCACCGACGTGTAAATATAAAAAATTTACAAATGACACGTCAACGTCGTTTCCAACACTTTTCAATTCAAATTATTATTATTATTATTTTCTTTCCCTCGCACAGTTTGCGTGATTATACGTGACGTAATACATACAAACATCTCTCCTTAAAATAATATAAAAAAGTTTTAATGACGTAATGGCGTGACGTAATTTTTATTTTTTATTTTTCCAGGTATCTTTTTTTTCAACGAGTCCAGAACTTAGCAACAAACAAAGATTCGAATATTTTTCACGTACGATACCATCCGATCATTATCAAGTTAAAGCCATGGTTGAAATTGTTCGACTTTTGGGTTGGTCCTACGTTTCCATTATATACGAAGAAAGCAATTACGGAATTAAGGTTTGTTTCCTTATTATTATTATCATCATCATCATCATCATCATCATCATTATTATTATTATTATTTTATCAACAAAACGCATTCGTTTTAAATGTATAAATGTAATTAAGTGAAGATAGTAAATTTTATTAATTATAAATTCTCGTCGTCTATTCCAACCCATTCGCTAGATTATTATTATTATTATTGTTTACGATAAGCGCCATCTTTTTTTATATTCTGCTTTATGCAAGTGTGCGTGTGCGTGTACGTACGCGTGCGTTTGTTTCACCTCGAGTAAGAAGAATTTCATTTTTCAAAAATTTTTTAACAATTCAAATTCTTCCAGGATTTGAAAATGATAACGTGTCGAATAAAAAGAAAGAAGACATTTTTGTCATTATTATCATCATCATCATCATCATCTTTATTATTATTATTATTTTTTTTTTTTTTTTTTTTTTTTTTATTATTATCACCATTAAACACGACAAGGCTACTTGTCGGGATTTTTAAGTATTTATCCGAGGTTTCTACCCGATTCCTTAGGGACAAATACTCGAATTTCGGTGGTGCCACTTATTATAAGATAGCACCACATCAATTCTTGAAGGTCTTCCTGAGTCCATCTTTATTCGATGGGAACGATTTGTCTCCTGAACTGTAATTTTCCAGTTAAAAATTTTCTTTTTTATTTCCGGAAACGGAAATAAAATCGAAATTAAAATACTTAAAATTTTTTTATTTTTTTTTAAAATGAAAAATTAATAAAATTAATCATTACGATAAATTACATATAAAAAAATTTTTTTTTAACTGGATAAAAAATTTTAAATGAATTTTTTCAGTTTTTCATGTTTCTTTTTTTTTTTCATTCTTCATTTCAGAATTTTTTCTAAAAAAAAAATTTACGTAGTTGTGAAATATTTTATTCGTTTACAAACGAGAGGAACATCCGGTTTTTAAAAAAATCAAACGTGAAAAAAAAATTATTTTTTATTATTAACAACCAGAAAATGGTGAATTTTTTTTTACTTCCTCTTTTTTTATTTCCTTTACCTTTAACAATTCTTGTAAGAAGAAAAAAAATTCTAAATTTATCCTGAAATTTTATAAAAAACAAAAAGAAAAAATCGTTAATTTTTTAAAACCGGAAATGAATAAAAAATTTTCCACGGATAATAAAAAAAATAAGCATTTATTTTAATTGCTAAAATGTTTTTCATTTATTATTTTATATATGACACGAAAACAAAAAACAAAAAAAAAAAATTCCTGGAAATTATATTTCGATTTTTTTTTTAAATTCGATTTTACTGGAACGAATGTATCAAATCTTTATTTATTATTATTATCATCAAAGGTTTATTTCATGAATAGATTTCAGATATTTTTTCGTATTAGAAAACTTTTTTTAATTTAATTATTTTAATTACTTTTTTGTCAACAATTCTCCAGTTTTGATTTTTTCTGGAATTCTTCAGATTTTCCTTCCTGTCGTTATTATTATCATTATTTTCCTTTTTTTCTTCATTTTTGCAGCAACCCCTCCCCCCCCGCTCACAATGAATTTTATTTTATTTTCAAATACTACAAAAAGTATATAATCATTTAATATTCGTCCCTTTGTTTTTTATTTAAAAAAAAAGGAAATTTTAACATTTCAAATTTCAAATTTGATATAAATAAATAAATTTAAAGTTAATTTAAATTGACATTTTCTTTTTTTTCGAATTTCAGGCGTTCGAAGAACTGGAAGATTTATTTGGTAAATACAACGTTTGCATTGCCGTTAAAGAAAGATTGGTTAAAGATTCTGGAGTTGCAGACGAAACCGCTTACGATCACATCGTTCATAAATTACTTACGAAACCGAGAGCAAAAGGTGAGTGTTTTTTTTTTTTCATTTCCGGTTTTCCACTTCTCCTCTTCTCCTCCTCCTCCTTCCACCACACCCCTCCCCCCCGACAAACGAGCAAATAAGGTTTATAACGATCGATATAAACACATGGATAAACCGATTGGAAAACAATTGCTGGATTCAAAAAAAAAATTTTCGATTTATTTAACAAAAAAAATAAGTAAAAAACCACGAACGCGGAAACTAATGACACGTTCGTTCTATTTGTATTAAACCTCTCGTATATTATTATTATTATTATTATTACGGATTTGACAAAATATATATATATATTTAATAATAATTTATAAAATCAAGTTATGTTAATTAAATTATTTTGTCGCCATATTGTTAAAATTTGCGGTCGAAAATTTAAAATTTTAATTAAGTGTCAGGGGGAGTGGAGGGAAAGAGAGAGGGAAGGAGAAGAATGGGGAGGGGTAACTGGAACTCCCTCGTAAATTAACGACAATTTTTTTTTCTTTTTTCGTCTACTCTCTCTTCATTTTAAATTCATTAAATGGGTATAGTGAACTGTTAAACGTTTGTTTTGTTTTGTTTTTTTTTTTAACAAAATAATAATAATAATTATGATAATGATAATGATGATAATATAAAGTGCGAATAATTTTTTTTTTTTTTTGTAAATGGCGAGGGATAAATAATGAGAAATATAATGACAACATATGGCGCGAAGTTAAAAAAAAAGGAAAGGAAAACATTTACGCGCGTAATTTTTTTTATCTTTTGCTACCGGGAAGAAGGGGGATGAGGCGAGGGGCAGGGGATCGGAGAGGAATGTGAATGGAAAATAAAAAAAATTGCCACTTTAATAATTTATTTCGTAGCTGCTACCGCCATTTTTTTTTTTTACCTGTCATTCAGGTTGTTCATTTATTACCGATGACAAGTTTTTTTACCACACAAAAGAATAAAAAGGATACTCATTTATTTAAAAACCTTTTAACGAGCTTAAAGGTTATTAAAAAAAAAAGGTTTAAATTGTCCGCCGGTTCATTATTATTATTATTATTTTCGTAAATTAAAAACGGGAAGAACAAAAAAAAAAGAAAAAAAATTATTTATTAGGATTAATCTTTTTTTCTTCCTCCTTCTTCTTCTTATTATTATTATTATCCATATAAAAGTTTCGCTTATTCGAGAAAATTCGAAAGGTTTATTAGTAAACCTTTGATGATGATAATGATAATAATAATAATTAAAATTAAACTTTTACTTTTTTTTTTTTTTCTTTTGTAAAAAAGAAAATAATTCGGGAACTTTTTAAAAAAAACAACAGGAACAAAAAAAAAAAATAAAGAAAAATTCGAGATTATTAAGATGAAAAAAAAAAGAAGAGGGAGAGGGGGAAGGTAAAAAGGTTAAAAAAAAATAAAGACAAAGTAACCTTTTTTAATTTTTACAACCTCTTAAATAATAATGTTAAAAAAAAAAAAAAATTAAAAAATTATGAGAAACAAAAAACAAAAAAAAAACTTCAAAGTTTTTTCTTTTTAACGAGTTTCATAATAATAATAATAATAATAATAATAATAATAATAATAATAATAATAATAATAATAATAATAAATTAAAGAAAAGGAAAAAAATTTTTTTTTTATTTTAAATAAAACTGGAAAAATTACAAAAAAAACAATGGCGACAATTAAAAAAAAAAGGCACGAGGAAACTCGGAAAGGTCGAAAACGTGGCGATGAAAATAACGAAAAAAAAGGAAAACGTGACAAGTGGTAGTAGTAGTCGTGGAAGTAGACGAAGGGAATTTCAATAATAGCAGAATACGAAATTTTTTTTTTTTTACTATAATTAAACCAAACTATATATATGTATAAATTTTTTACACGGTTCAATACGTTTAATTTGTAAATATTTATTGAAGCGAATTACGGTTGACGATGGCGGTTCAATCGTTGATAATTAAAATTAATGACGTCATTTATAATTAACATTTTTTTTTTTTTAAATTTAATTCGAATTTTTTTTGTATAATTACGAATGGTTAAGTTTACTTATTAATTTATTTTTTACTCTCTTACTCTCTCTCTTCTTTTGACGCTCGAACAAATTCCCCCTTTCTCTTCCCCTCTCTCCCTCTCTCTAACACTCACGCAAATTCACACTTCCTTTTCTCTCTCTCTCTGCCTCTAACACACCCACACAGACACATCCACAATTCCCTTTCTCTCTCTAACACACACATACAGACACATCCACACTTCCCTTTCTCTCTTTTTCTCTCTACTACTCACGCACATTCGAACTTCCTTTTTTATCTCTCTCTCTCTCTCTGTCTTTAACATACGCACAGACACATTCACATTATCTCTCTCTTTCTCTTTTTATTTTTCTTCAGCTTTTGTCTTTACACAAATCGGCGTCAAATATTTAATTCGCGAAAGTTTTAATCCAGTCGCATATTTTTGGAATGGAATTCCTCCACCCTTTTTCCCGTTTCTCTCGTCCGGTTAATTTCAACACGATTATTCAGGTTTACTCAAAACTAAACGATTTATCCTTTCTCGCTTTTCGATGAGGGATTTCATCACATATTAGAGGCAAAAAAAAAAAAAAATCACACCATCCCGATGGATTTTAATCTCCGGAAAGGATTTCAAACGTGTTTGTGATGGGAAAAATTATTTTCAAAACGAACGGAAAACGTTCGTTATCCTAAATTTAAAGTTCTAAAAAAACTTTAAAGCGCTATAACGGTTTTTTTTTTTTTTAAATTAAAATATTATTTGACGTAAATGAGAGTTAAAAAAGATTTTCACGTACGTTTAAAATTGTGTCGAATTGTTTTTTTATAGCCCGCGTGACGTAATTACAAAATAGTTTTTATTTATAGACTATAAAAGAAAAAAAAAATTTACGTGGAAAAGAAAAAAGAAGAAGAAGGAAATGGAAAGGAAAAGGCAAAAAAAAAATTTTATTTTCTTTTTCATTTGTTGATTCGTCCATTTTTATTTGAAAAAAATTTATACGAATCAATCAAAATCGTCGTTACTGAAAATGACGGAGAAAAAAAAAAATTTTTTTAGTCTACTCCCACGTAAATTAGCTTTAAAAAAAATACATCGTAAAATAAATTTAATAAGATTTAAAATTTCGCACGCGTGAATTCAAAAAAAAAAAAAAAAAATTACGTTTAACAATCGTCGAATTGATTTACGGTTAACGAGTTGAAAAAAAAAAAAAAACAAAAATCGTATCCGTTTCCGGTCTTTCTCTCTTTTGGTTTTAAATATGAAAAAAAAAAAAACAAAAAAACTTTTTTTTTATACTTGAATTTTCATACGCTTCGATTATTTTTTTTTCAATTTTTCCGGAAATGCCTTTTTCGGAAATTTTTTTTTTAAAAATTAAAACCGTTTTCGTTTCACCCTCTCCCCTCCCCTCCTCTTCCCCTTCCACTATCACTTATCCTTCCGTCGTTTATTAAATTAAAGTTTTTTTTTTTTTTTTTTTTTTTTGGGGGAATTGTTATTAAATTAAAGTTTTTTTTTTTTTGGGAATTGTCTTTTAATTAACGTTATCGATAAAAAAAAAAAAAAGCTTTCTGGAAAATTCCATCGGGAAAATATATCTGAAAATAAATTGAATGATTTTCCAGGTTTTTCTGGAAATCTGGAAAAAATTTCCGTTTCGACAATAAATTTTCTCTATATAAATATATAAAATTTTCCCTTTTGCTCTATTTTTCCATTATTATTATTATTACTACTGCCACGTTACTCATTCCCATTGGATTTTTTATTATAAACTCGATTCTAAACGTGAATTCATTTAATAATAATAACCTTAATCCGACCCTGTTTTAATTAAAAAAATTTTATTGCGACTGACTCTGTGTAGTAATTGAAATTTTTTTTTATTTTTATCATTAATTAAAGTTGAAATTTTATTTGTTAATAATAACATTATTAACTCACAATAACAATAATAATAATAATAATATCATTATTATTATTGTTTATTGTTTTTTTTTTTAAATGAATAATAATAATGATAATAATAATTGTTTTTAATTAAAAAAAAAAAAGTTATTCGGTTAGAAATAATTTTTTTTTGATTTATAAATTTTTTTTTTTCTTTTTTTAAATAATTTAAAGGGTTCGATGTAAAAAAAAAAGAAATTACGTGGCAGGAGAAGGTGAAAACGAGATATTTTTTTGTTTAATCGTTGCTTCCACGTTTTTTTTTACGCACATGTGATTTCATTGTGTTTTTTTTTTTTGTTTTGCGAATGAAAACCAAAAAAAAAAAAATTATTTCGAAAAAATATTCTTTTCTTCTTTCACGTTTTTACGCCCCCCCGTTTTATTGTTTTATTTATTATTTTCCTTGTTTCGCCAATATCGACATAAAAAAAAAAAAAAATTGAAAATATGAAAATTTTGGACGTAAAAAAAAATATTTTCTTTTTTTTAAAACTTTTTCCCTCGGGGGTCATTTTAAAAATTAAAATGAAAAAAAAGGAAAAATTTTTTCTTTTATGTAATCATTATATAAAAGATTGAATTGAAAATGGATAAAAAAAAAGTCAATGGAAATACAAAGGAAATATATATATGTATATTTTTTACAATCATTTTTCGAATATAAATTTTTTTTTTTATTCAAATTCGAAAAGGCGGGGAAATGCGGGTAGAATGTGAGGGGGTGGGAGTGAAGGAGGAGGAAAGGAAGAAGATGGCGCCGAAGAGGAAAAAGAGAATCAAATTAATTTTTATTTGAAAAAAAATAAAATAAATAAATTTTCTTTTTCGTGTCTCTTTGACGAAAGCAATCGACGTCCATATTGTGAATATTAATTTTATTTATTTAAAATAAATTGAGATTAGTCCTTTGAATATTTTTCACTTTTTTTTTTATTCTGGTACGTCTTTTATTTATTTATCTTGTCTCCCCCCTCTCTCTCTTTCTCTCTCTCTCTCTTCCTTTCTTTTTTATCTCTCGTGTTA